TAATGGCCGGCGTCGCTACAATATTGAAATGACCAGGAGTAGCCTTTTTTTTCCTGCGACAGAAAAGCAGCTAATGAAGCTGCTGAACTTGGGACAGTTCCAGAACGGGAAGAAAGAGGAAAGAGAAAGAATTAATCCATTCAGTTTAAAAAATAGGGAGCCCCTGTAAAAGTTCCATCCGTAAAAAACAACAACCAGAAACTGGATAACACACTAAGTTCAATGCAGATCAATCTCACCGCTTACAGTCTTCTGTTTTCAATCTTAACTTAATTTTTTTTCTTGGGTAGTTTCTTCCTGTAATAATAAAATTTCCTCACCAATTCGACACACTTTCTCTTTCCTCTTTCTTCCCGTTCTGGAACTGTCCCAAGTTCAGCAGCTTCATTAGCTGCGTTTCTGTCGCCGGAAAAAAAAGGCTATTCCTGGTCATTTCAATATTGCAGCGTTGACGGACTTGATTAAATAATGTCACCTATTGGTCTTCTGGAAATGCACCTTCTCTGTAGCAACTTCTGCCCTTTGGAATGAGGTTCTCCGAAAACTAGATGCCTCCCACACCTACAATTCAGAACAGTGAAGACCTGGTTTTTAACCTAGGCCTTTGGTGAGAGAGAGTGAGAACGCTTGCTTCATTCCATCTGATGTGTCCACCTACCATCTTTTACTAATTTTTTTGTAATTCCATTGATTGTTGTGAGCCTCCCAAAGTTATTGGGAATTGTGTGAGTATTAGTTTGATAAATTATTGTTTCTTCTGATGTAAGCTGAAAAAGCCAATCTGACTCTCCAAAGAAAAAAAAGCATACATTTTTGTAGGAATAATGGGCTGAACACAAAAAAGGATTAAGAAAAACTCCAAGCTCTCTCCTCATTTACACTGGATTCTCTTTATGATTATCAGGTATTTTAATATTTAAGTTAACTAAGTTTAATGTTACTTTCTGGTACAATTTAAAGTACTGTACTGGCTTGACATTACAACTTCGTGTCAGAGAAAATAAAGCATATGCAGTTACATGTGTTATAGCCCTGTACCATTTCTCTTCCCACCCCTAAGAACTTAATGTTTTTGACAGGCAAAGAGATAAATTATAGTTAACTTTGCCTAAAAAGGAAAAGCCAGCTTCAAAAAGCCAGCTTCAAAAAGCCAACTTCAGGGCGCTTTCTCTGGACTTATATATAATAAAAAGATCCTGTTATTCAACATTTTTAGTCTCTCCTCACCCATTTTAAAGAATGAGTGAGAGACATAAGTCTTTGTTCACATAAACAATGCAAATCAGTACAGTGCTTGAATAAGATCAAAGAATCAACATCCTGATTATTTTCTGTCTTTAAAAACTATATATGAAATACATTTGCTTAGTGAATTTAAATATATCCACAATTAGTTTTAATACATTTCAAACACCAACTTACATACCATTATTGAGAATTCTGGTGGTTTAAGTGTAATTGTTGAATCAGGCATTTTTACTTCTTTCAGCAACTCTCTCAGAACTGATGTTTGTGATAGATTCTATGAGAAAAAAATGAATTGTTTGCAAATTTAAAAACTCAAAAGATACATCTTTTATTTATATTCAAAAGGCTATGACACAATAATTTATTATGTAAATGTAATAGAATTGGCTGAAAAAATGTCTTGCTCATCATAATGTTTCCACATTGCTTTTACAAATGATTCTACTGATAGTCTTTGACTTATGACTTTCAAAGGTTGCTTTATGACTATTGAAAATCACAGCAGCCATAGAATAGTTGCTTTATGGTAAATATCATAAATATCCTAAGCACAATTGCATGTTAATTGGATCAGCTTAATGGCCAATCACAGTGTTCTGTGGACACATGACTGCAATTTTCCGTTTTTAGCGGGCTTCTGGCAAAAAAACTATCCCATTGAATGTCCATGGTATTCACTTAATGACCCCAGAAAAAAAAAGTTGGAAAATTAATTCTGGATTGCATTTAAATAAAGATTGGAATAAAAGTTTGTGACAAGACTTAATGAGATATACAAATTATCAGGTTTTATATATAAAATGGGATATACATTTAAAATAGAATTAAATGAAAGATGACCCAACAAACATTACATGTTGTTTCTCAAACCTCTATAAATTTATGAACACCCAGCACTCTTAACACACACAAATAAAGCTCTCCTATGTGCTGATATTAAAAGGGCTCCCAAAATTAAAATGGAAAAGAAACTGAAATGCAATTTTAAGGATTTCCACATCAAAATTAGTAAAAAATGCTAGTAAGTAGCAATATCTTACTATTGTATTTTTTCCAGTACAATCATAAGGTATGACACAATAAAGTTCTGAGAAGTTGATTAATTTATATCACACCTGCAAAACCGCATTAAAAAAACATGTATTTCCTAGGTTGCTAAGACCTTTCACCGTCATTTCTGAATTGCCATTTAATTGATTTTTATTGTCTTTGAACAAGATTTCTTTCTTCTCCTTTTCTTCCTCATTTTTGTGGTCTTTAAGTTTTTTGTTTTCCAAAGGTTTTTCTTCATTTTTAGAAGCTAAAAAATATTTTTTAAAAATACAATAAATAAAAAGCAATAAAAATGTTCAGCATCTCAAGGATAAAGTAGAGCAATTGCAAATGTTATTTAAAGCAAAAACAAGTACTATAAAACATATACTTTCATCAAGTTAGCCCTCAAACAATTGATTTATTCGTAAAATAGGCTAAGTTGTTGGATTCATAGATAGCTAATCAAAGCCGATACATTTAACTTTCAGCCGTATACCTAACACAGAAAAAACAGGCTCTTTAAATAAGTCCATCAAGTTTCAATTAGCAGTACCAGCCTAAGACATTTTAATTATTTTAAAATCTTTAGTATATTACTTTAATACTGTATACATTTATATTACAGATTTTGTCCTATAGCATTATGAATAAGTGATAGTAACAACGGACATTTCCTGCATGCTAGTAAAAACAATCTGACATCCCAACGATGCTATTTAAAAAGAAAGTATGTCAAACACTTATAGCCTGTCCCATTGTTTTAAGAATCTGAGTCAGAGAATGAAATGTGAAAAAAGAGAATTGTAGTATTTACAGTAATTATTTGTCAAATTTATGACTGCATATCTCAAAGTGACTATGGATGGTGTAGAATAAAACCAGCAATTGAAAACTTAAAATAGATTAAAACAAGACCACGAGAGTGAAAATAAACATAAGCCAATATTACAAGAGAGACAATTTGGTGTAGTGATATAGACACAAGGCTAGAAACTGGAAAACTGTGAGTTCTAATTATGCTTTTGGAAAGAAGCTATTTGGGTGACTTGGAGCTAGTCACTCCTGCTCAGCCACAAGAAAGGAAGCAATGCCAAACCATTTCCAAAGTCTTGCCAAGAAAACTGCACAGACTAGTCCGGGCAATTGTTTGGAGTCAACAGAATTTCAAAGGCACCCCCCCACAAATTTGTCTTGAGTCAACAAATATAATTTTTGAAGGCAAGAAATGTATGGGACTTTCAAATGTAGAATATATAGAATAAGGGATACTAATACTTACAGGTGAAACTCGAAAAATTAGAATATCATGCAAAAGTTCATTTATTTCAGTAATGCAACTTAAAAGGTGAAACTAGTATATGAGATAGACTCATTACATGCAAAGCAA